AACTTTTCAGCATGTGTTTTCATGGAGTTTAAAAACTGACTCTAGAGCCACCTAGGCTTTTAGGGGTCCTGCAGAGCATCAGAAGTAGTTAAAGTACTGTCATCAGCTGGTTTTATTGTTGTTCATAAGGTCTAGGAGTACTGTATGGTAAAGTCAAAATAGGTAGGGTTTCCTAAAGACATTTTGCTCATGTTTGCAAACTCTTGGTTTTGATACCCAAGAATGCTCTTAGTGCAGTGAGATTTATGCATATTCATGCTTTTGAGGTATAATCAACCCCCCATGAATGTGGAAAAGAACCATTTTGTTCCTTTTAATAAACTTTTGATCCAAATTTAGATGGAAAACCTACTGTGCTGCAAGTGGAACCTACAGCTTGCCTGTATTTAAGTTAACACTTAGCAAATTAACTTAGGACTGCCTATAGCGAAGTTTACCCAAGCATTTCTGATATAGTATTTGATTTTAACGTCCTTATGCCAACTTGAGCTGTTCTGGATTTTGGATTAAATAACGCAGCACTAGATAGTTATCCTAGGTGGGGTGAGGGAAATGTACATCCTCTACCTGCTTTTTAAAAGCACAGGCTTTAAAAGCTTCAGTTAAAAAAAAAAAAAAATCTTGGTAGTATTAATGAATGAAATTTGGGGAAGAAGGGAAGGAGAGTTGTTTTGTCTGTGTTATAAAAGATTCTCCAGCTGTCTGGTGGAGAAGCACTACTATCCGCTAGTGCTGGGGACCAGAGACATTAAATTTAGCAGGCTGGAGGGCTTCTCAGTTAGTGCTTTCCTGTGAAATACTGATCTTGTGCTTGCCTGCCTGTCCTCAGCTGTCCAAACATCTTTGGTTGCATCAACCTACGGAGACTTTTTAGATTCTTTTGGATAGAAATTCCCCTGGTAGCACATGTGCTGCCTTCTGGGACTGTCAGGGCTGAGCAAGACTTTCTTGCAGGTGTCCCTCTGGGTGACACTGGCATGGTGCTTAGCTGTGGACTGGAAAGCAGGATGCTGTTTGTTTCTTCAGTGCTTCTCCTTCTAAAATAATGGAGGGGAGAGCCTGACTTGAAAGCCCGGGGGTGAAAAATATGCAGGTGGAGGGCTGGGAAGAAAGTGAAATGAGGGACAGGACTGATGGCAGGCTAGTTCGACACAAAAAAAATGGGAATGGAACAGGCCGTTGGGTAGGTGCTGGGGGATGTAGGAGGGAGTGAGGAGAGCTGAGAGAAGGGGACAGAGGTGCAGAGTGCACTAGAGTAGGAGCAGTGTGGAGGGAGCTGTGGTCTGGTAGGTGGGGAGAAAAGACAGGTCAAGGCTGGGACTCTCCCATGAAAGACACACACCCTCCCCCCGGCACTGCTTTTAACCAAGGCAGTAGCTGATCCCTGATACCCTAGTTGTGACTCTTCCCTTTCAGCAAGCAGCTGTGAAGCCTACCAGGCAAATGAGCATCCCCTCCATCTGCTGACCACTGCTTGACTAAATGGTTTATCCTGTTATGTGCAGTTTTTGCATGGGCAGCAGTGATCTCACAATAGATCCTGCGTGTGTGGGAATCAACATGGTCCCACATAATGATTTATTTTGATTTCCCTCACTGCCATCTTGTGTGGGGGTTTTTTTTGGTTTTGTTTTTAGTTTGGGGTGTTTTTACATTACAAAATAATATTTGAAACTAACCACATTAAAACTGCTTCGTACTTGACGACACAAACATAATCTCTGAGTACTGTTACAGAGAGGCTCTAACGGTATTTGGCAAAATAGATCAGCTAGAACCTGCCCCCCTCATCCCCATCGAACCAGCCCAACACCCTAACTTCTCAGCAGGGTTTATCTCCCATGTCTGTATTTCGTGTAGCTATTTGCAGGTTTAAAAATACTCTATTTATGTTCTACTAACTTCCAAACAAACTGTCCTCATCTCTCTCTAGAAAGGCAACAAAATGGCTCAGAAGACAGCAGTCACATCCTGCGCACCTACGCCCACAGGCGCACACAGCAGCAGTGCATATACTTAAGCTGTCTCTAACACACATAATTTTCCTTATAAATAAGTACTCGTCTCTTCCCTTTTCAATGCCTTTAAAATAAAAGATTTATATGTGCATATGTACACACAGCAGAAGAAAGAGGGAGGGGGGAAAATGTGTGAGAGTTGATTTGTCTGCCTCTAGATCCCTCGAATAAGTCTTGAGCAGTCTCTCCAGATTCAGGTCCAAATCCAAAGCCTGTGGAGGTTATCAGTTACTAGTGTGGCATGCAGAGTATTTTGGAAATAATTCTCATCTATATTTCTGGAGGATTTAAGGTATATCTGTAATAGGTGTGTCATGTGGCACAGGCATCTCTCTAAGGAAGTGCTGCTTTACAGTTTGCCATGCAAACTCCAGCATATTTAGTTTTCTTCAGAAATGAAGGATGCATCATATTTAACTTATGTAAGCTAATAAAATTTACATTTCTTAAAAAAAATATTAAAAATACTCAGCATGGTTTTTAGAGTTATCATTTTCTGTTATATACATTAATACCACCAAATCTTTAAGGAATATTCATCAAATATTTTTCACTCTGTACCTTTACATCAAGTCCATCTGCTTTTTATAAGATGTGCTCTATCAAACTGCACAGTGCGGTGTATGATCCATATTTTCTTTCCTTGCATTTGTGTCAATCTAGAAAGCTGTTACAGTCTCTTCTGAGTTTAGAGGCTGTGTGTTTACGCTAATGTTAGGAATCATCAACAACCTAAAAGTTTTAAGGTTTGTTTTAGATAAGCCACCTTGATTTTACTTACCTTTTCCAGTTTTCTATTAGCTTCTCACTGCTGAAATCAGGCCAGGTATTTAATGAAGGTGGGGGGTTTTGCATGAGATATTACACTGATGAATTTTGTTCTGTTGAGGAATAACATTCAAATATCCTTCTTTGGGATTATCTTGATATTTCGATTTCCAGTCTAGACAAGGAAAGGAGGAGCATGTATGATGTTAAAGTAGTCACTAATTGTGGATTTGTAGAGCTCAACAGAAGTTAGTCTTTTAGTTGGACTTCAGTTTTTAAGCAAAATTTTAAGTAATGCAGCTGGGTAGTTCATTCAGTTACAGCACTTGAGAATATGAAAAAACCTTTTTCCCTACGACCACCTCAAGCCAACACCAATGTGAGGATCTTGCTATGTTACAAACTGCTGGTGAAATCACATTGAAAGTCTAGAAATAAGTGATATTTCATGAAACTTCATGTCTTTGGGTACCCTCATTTTTATTTTTTTATCTCAAACCTGGATTTCCACATGACATTGGTACAACAATGGAAGAAACTACTGATTGGAAAATGTAACGTAGTCTTTTCCTTCAGAAAAGTCTAGGTGTTTTTTGTTTCCACAGTCAGTATGACCATCGTATCTTGCGGGAGTTGTAATTCCAGCTCTCTGCTGTGTCCCTTTCCTTCTAGTGAGCCTTGAGAGGGTAACTGTGTGCTGTGCTTGTTCGGCCTCAGGGAAAGCCTGCAGCTTATCATGGGAAACAGGGCCAGCCAGAGAGAAAAGGCAGAAAAAAGAGAAATGCCACATTTGAGGCAATGTTCTGTTTAACTTTTTCTATCGAGTCAGCTGCTACATCGGGGATTTGGTGTGCGCAAAACTCAATGAAGAGAAGTGGATTGTTCTAATAACAAACTGCATGAGATCAAGCCTTTCTTTGAATTATTTTGAGATTAATTAATCCTAAAAAAAGGCAATTTTCAAAAACATCGTATATTAAGTAAATAAGTTTAAGTCATTTTCAGCCAGCTCCTAAGAGACCCTGCATACAGTGGAGGAGGATACAAAGACAAATGCAATGAAACATTTCAATTTTTCTGTCTTTTAAACTTTCCATTTGGCACAAAGTTCCAGTAATTTGAGTTTTGATCTTTGTTCAAGACAAAAACTGATGTCAAAACGTAGTGGTTTCCTTCACAGCAATGGGTTTATAGTTTTGATCAGCTATAATGACTTTTGGATGTATGATCTTCAGATAGGGTGCATTCTTGTCAAACAGATGGCAATAATACCTCCATTAACGTCTTTGTTACTGTCTTACACATTTCTTGCCCTTCTCACATATTTTTGTACTTGTATGTTCCCATACTGACGCATTTTCCAGTATGATTATTGCCTTCCTTCAGTAGGCTTTGACATTGCAGAATGATAGTGCTGTCACAAATACTAGAATCCCTGAACGAACAAGATTGGAAATGGTCAGCAGATTAAAAATGTTCCCTTGAAATTTACTCTTTGGTTTGCAGTAGAGGGGAAAATGTTTGCATAAATGAATTTTTAATAGATACTAAAAATAAAAAGCTGCTAAAGAAAATATAGCTTGTCTACATTATCATGTGATTTTAATTATGCAAGCTTTTATATTCTTTGTGTATTTTGACTTAGGGCCATGTGAGACACGAGTGAACTGTCACTCATGCAGAGTTAATTATAATTTGTCCATATAGGGAAGAAAAACCTTGGGAAAATATGATAACACTTTTCATTGGCAGCAAACACTAGTTGTTGTTAGTCATTTGATAAAATTATTCTTAGCAGACTGTACAAACTCTGTAGTTCAAAGTGTTCCCTGAAAAGAGGTGTATTAGCACGTGGCTAGATACGCTACAGGAATGGATTTTATTGGCTAAGGATCTATATCCTTCTGTACCATAACATTTATTTCTTTTTTTTCTTTCCCTTGAACAAAAGAATATATTTTAATGCAGTGTTTGACAATCCAAGCCACGTTATTTAAAATAATATTCATTTGGAATGTGCTGAGTGTAAAATGCTATTTTTAGAGTAGTTACTTTTACACAGTATTGCAGACAGAAATCTTTAGTTTCCTACATGTAGTACAGAACCAGTTTGTAAAGAGTCTTTAGACGACTTTGCACTCTTTCTTTACCCAGGTAGGTGGCAAATAACTAGTTGTCACTGACACGAAGGGCAACAAATGGATAAAGCAAGCATGGATTCTGAGATCTATAATTTTTAATAATTTTTAAACTAGCTACAAAATGTCAATCACTTCACAAACTGACAGGAGACATAAGGAATTTCATATTACATGCTGTAAATGATATTTATCTCACAGTTTATCTAGAGTTCATTCATTTAGGTTTTTTTGTTATTTTTTTAATTAAGTCAGCTACTAAACATCTCAGCGATTTGGTGTGCATAGCTCTAGGTAAGCAACAGAGAACTGTACCGATAACAAACCACATGGGGATAGCGACTAGTAAGAGAGAGCCTTATAAAAATTACATTTCTTTGCACCATTTCATATGGTAGTCGTTTCCTCCAAAAGATAGTCTTCAAAAGCAGCAAACCCAATATATTACACTTATTTCTTTTTGTCTTTGACATATTTTCAGCCAAGGTTTTATTTTGCTGGCAATGGCTAAATGGTGAGTGCCAAATCCCTCTTTTTTTTTAATAATTAAAAAAAATGATCATGATTAATAACTATATATATATATCAACAAGAAAAAAGTGGCACGACTGCAAACTTGCTGGTATAACATAGTCCCAAAAGAGTCCGAATACTGAGCATGCTTTTGTTGTCATTGGTGGTGTGCTACTGCCATGGGAGAAGTCTTGTTTAAGTAGGAGTCTAAAAGTCTATTTATTCCTCATGCATAAATGCATAAATCACATCACTTTTTAGTGCAATGCTTGTTATAGTAATATAATTCCACGTTGTCTAATCATGAAATCATAACAACAGGTAATGGCAATGAAGAACTGAAGACAGCAGGTTTAAGTGCTTAAACATCATGATACCCAAAGACAGGAGCATGGCAGTAGCTCTGTGGAATGTCACAGTTTTACAAGAACAATACTGTATATTTAAAGGTTAACAGCACGTTTAGCATTCCAAAAGTGTTGTCATTCAGCAAACATCATTTAAAAAAAAAGTTGAGAGGGGGAAAAAAGGAAAGGAATCCAAAACAGAAACAAGGAAAGGAAGAATCCCAAAAAATATCATAGTGAGCTATAGCCATCAAATCAGCACTATGTACAACCTTTGGAAAGAAAGATATCTAGAAAAAAATAATTACAAGTATCATTTTTGGAAAGCTGACAAACTACACAGGACAACATTTACAATGGGGCTGATATGTGCATGTGTGCAAACCTAGTAGGTAAATACCATGATAAAAGCAGGAAGGTACTGCCCTGTTGGGCAGCGTTAAAAGGAAATGCACTTTGCTGCATTTAACCGCTGCCCAGCATCTTTGTTGCACGCTGGTTGGCTTCATCAATCCTGGTTTTGTTGGAATCAGCCTGGGGAAACACAAAGGAAAGAAACGGATGAATATAGGGCAGGAAGAGAACATCTACAATGCTTTGTGGACACTTCTCTAGTTTGGGCTAGGTCAGGAAAAAAAAAAAGAAGCTTGAAAATACTGGAGAGCTGTTGTTATAGTGGTATCAGGGACCCAAAAGGAAATTCCAGATTTGTTGCTTTTGTGACACTTTAGGTAGCCTTTGAGTAGAACTCTTGTGTTTGTATTCAGCTTCGCTGAACTCTTGTGAATGCTGGGCCAGTTCTGTAGCTGGTGCTATTGATAGGGCTACCGCTATTGATAGTAATGGATGACCGGATGAGAAGTGGTGGTGCACATGTGGATTTCACAGGTGAAAAGCTTCAGTGCTCTTCAGTGGACCTGGACTCTGTCCTAATTTAGATCATCAAGCAGAGGGACTAGATAGAAAATGTTTTCATTTTTGAAATCAGACCTGTGGGAAAGGTGAGAAATGTGTTACTGCTTTAAAAGCATGAACTCAAACAGCAAACTTTTGTGTGGTTTGATGGCTGTGTTTTGTTAGCTTTGATTGTTCCCACATCTCTGGGGTGTATCTGAATTGTACAGATTTATTTTAAATCTCCAATTTGCAAAGACAGAATGGTGAAGCAACTTTCCCACATACATTTAAAAATCCTTTAAAAATTGTTATATTGCTGTGCAATAAATCATTCTTAAATATTTTGGGCTTTTCTCTGTAATTGTTTTGGCAAATGCTATGTAGATGTGTATTTTTAGTATGGTAGCACGTGCCAGATCCTCAACAAGCATAAATGAGCATAACTACACATTATGAGCCCCGCTTCTTTATTTTAGCCATGAGTTTGACCTTGTCTACCACAGTATAGTTTTGTGTGCTTTTGCCAAAAGACTACCTAAAAATAAGTTAATGGTTTTGGAAGCGGTTAAGTTTGTCATGAAATACATAAATATCGATTGGATATTGATGATACGTAATGTTCCTAAATAGGAATACTAAGATCTAATTCTGGTGGATAGTGTTGCATCCAAGTCAGTGGGAGTCTTTGCCCAGACCTTCCCACCTTGGTCACCACATAATGCTTTGAGCCCTTTCTAGTTTCCTCCCAGCCTTCTATTTATGGATCATTTTAGGGTCAGAGTCTTGTGGTGATGATACCTGGGCCATTTGACCTGCTCATCACATCATCATTTTAATTTTTGTCCCTTTCTCTCTGATCTGAGGGAAGAATAAAGCCTTTTATTCATTGCTATCCTGATTGCTGCAGATAGATCAGATTACATCTCTGCATTATGAGATTGCTCTGGTTTGGGTGCCCAGATCCATTTGAACATAAATGCTTTAGGAACATTCGGGTTAGCTTTGTGATGCACCCCAGCTTTTCAAAGTGTGCCAGCCAAGGGTCTTTCTACTGATCGTAGATGATCTAAACCACAGTGCTCCAGCTGGTCAAGAAAAGAAAACACCACCAGCAATGCTGTATTGCCCACCACCAGCTAGGGACAATGGTCTATTGCCATATTTCATTGCAAAATGGATGTGTACACATTTGTGGTTTCGGTGTTATCCAGCTAACGGTCATTTCTGTCTGTTACAAAGGGTGGTCCTAATGTATTGTGTTTCTTTTTCTGGTATCTCATTACTGTGTGTCCTTACTCTGACAATTTTGGCAGATTTTCACTGAGACTGAAGTCTGTCTTGGTTTTGTGCCGCTTTCAAGACGACTCCTCTGTGTACGCTGCAAGTCCATCTTTCAGAAATGTGTCACTTTGTTCTTTAGCCAAGGGCTCTGCCTGACGGGGCCTGCCTGCGAGGCTGGATTTAATGAATTGCATTAGCTTGCAATGTTGTTTTTCTATTGCTGTACGAGATGCCTAACTCTGTAAGAAGACCTCATAGATGTGGAAGGCCAGTCCCTCATTTAGCCAACTGCTCTCAGAGATTTGGCTCACATGATTCATGTGCACAAAGGGTCTGTTCAATGTTTTCAAAATCCAGATATTTGCAAGGATGAACTGATAGGAGAACTGTGCCTTGTTAGGCTTGCCGCAGTTTGCGATAGTATCCTGCAGGCACGGGGACAGGACGCAGCTGATCTGTATCCACAGGGCATGTCTCCTGCCACTATGTTATGTCACGAGTAGGGTAGCTGGTAACATGTAATAGCGCATGTCCTTGTACTTGCACTGAGAAAATAACGTTATGTCCTAGACTTCTTATTTAAAGGTAGTTATGATGTAGGCTGTATAATCTTCCAGTCCCTTCTTGCAATGTAGATAGATGTGCTGCTTTCTAGTGCTTTTCTTATGAATAACAGCAGTAAATCCTACCCTGCCACGCTCCTATTTAATTTTTCTCAGAAATATGAAATGCTACTGAATGGCGTCACAGTAATACTGTGCATTCTCAAACACAGGCAAACTAACAGATGCAGCTTTATTAAACAAAACTTTCGACCAACACAAAGCCATGTGCTCTACTGTCGAGATGAACTTCCCACCTTTAAGACAACATATACTTCACCCAGTTCTCTCTGTCATCAAACTCTGGTAAGGAAAGCTATCTGAGTTAATCCTCAGTGTGGTATTTTCTTTAATTTTTTCACTAGGCTCTGATGTAGTTAATTGACATGAAAAATAGGTGTAGGCATCCTGCTCGTGTGAGAAGCTTTGCACGTGTTAGAAGGCTCAAGAGTACAAGCTCTACCGCTTAAGGTCAGCATTAACTCTAAGTGGCACGTATAAGTCCTTGCGTTAGATCCTCAGGTTGTGTACATCTCAGCTAAAGTCGAGTGTTATATTGATTTTACACCAGATGAAGATCTAGCCTCTTATGCCACTTCAGCCTGGCTGTGCCTGTGCCTGGAGCTCTGCCAGTATGAATGCAGATGGCTTGCAGATCTTGGGATCTGAGGATGGCAGTGAGCTCCCAGCCGGGTTTGGAGGGTGCTTTCTGTCTGCTTTGGAAATCTGCAGTGCAGGTCTGGCACTGGAACAGTGCTCTCTGTCTTTTTAGATGGTGCTTTTGCAACAGTAATGCTGACCCCCAGTTGTTTCATATTTTTATACATACACACCCCACCCCACCCCCCCCTCGAGAGAGCTGGTAGATCTCTGTCCTAATGTGGTTATAAGCAGGCAGCACGGCAAGACTGGCTGCACTGTACCATACAGCAAAGCCTTGCTTAATAAATCCCTATCCTCTTTTTGGGACTGGTCCTCCAAACAGGCAATCCAATTCTCAATTGCTCGTGCAATTTCCAAGGGAAGGAAAAATCTAGGAAAGCTTAAAATGTGCCAGGGCATTCAGACTCAAGCTCTGTGGTTCTGCAGAGCTCAAGGCGTTTCTCCTTACCCAGAGGTGTTGCAGAAGGACCCTTGATTTGTGCTAAGGGGTCCCCTCACCAGCTATTGTCTTGCAGGTCCAACAGTGTGGGTTCAACCTGACCTGCACCAAAGGTTACTGAAGATGTGCAGCAGCAAGCTCTGCTGTGGCCCAATGTTTTGGAGGGAGAAGAGGGGAGATCTAGCAGCTATTTCTGTCCCTTGTCCTTCTTCGAGCTGAAGAAAAACTGCAGCATGCACAGTCTGTGCTTGCAGAAGGGAAAACACAGCCTTGTTTGGGGTCCTCTTAGAAATGTCAGCTCTTACCTTCTCCATGATCCTGTCAATCTGGCGATTCTGTGTGTCGATCTCGTTGCCCATGTCCAGGGCCATGTGACGTAAGTTGCCAATAATGCCGCTGACCTGCTCGAGGTTCTCATCCATTTCATTTTCCCGGGCATCGTTTGTTACCCTGGGAGCGAAAAAACAATTCTTTGAAGCAGAGATGTTCCCCCTGAAACTCTGATTCACCCAAAACCTCCTCTGCATCCTCCTTCGCTTGTCACCTGAGGGGAATGATGCTGTGCTCGGCTTTGAAGAAAAGGGATTAATAAGTAGCTGGCCTGAAAAGCATTACATGCTTATTTTTTGGGTGTTGGGATTAATTGTCTGGGTTCATCACTGCTCCGTTTACACCGTTCATGCCAGCTGCTCCTAGAAGTGTTGCTGTCTGCGCTTGTCCGTACCACATACTGCACCTCTCCGCTAGTGATGGTCCTTCTCAAAGAAGGAAAGGGTGCTCCGTTTGGACTTGGGTGTGGTTAGAGTAAGTGGGAAATACTGGAATTGAAGCTATACTAGCTTCCCACCTTGAACTATGCGTAGCTGATGGACACTGTCCAGTCCTCATACACTTGGGGCTTACTGAAATTTTGGGGAAGAGCTGCTTCAGCTGTGAAAATCCTGACCTAACATCCTATTTAATTAAATGTATTTCTGGTAAATGGCAGAAGCATCCTCTCAGATTTACTGGCTTTTGTAAAGATCCTTTGTCTCTCATTCTTAGCACCACCCTTTTCAGTTGCTTGGTTTTTAGAAGAAAAAACTTGCACTAGAGCCAAGGCCCAGTTCAACGCTCCAGTGACTGAAGAGGCGTGTGGCGACTGATGCTGGGAAAAGCAAGGTCCATGGGCCCTGCTCAGAAAATCACTACTTTGAGAGTCGTGTGCAATTGGTGGTCATGTAGGTGCCGAAAGGGTGCTACAGACTATACGCAGAACGATTATGGTGTAGCATAACTTCCTTCACTGCTATTCTGTTATCATGCCCCAGCCTTCATTTTGGTGGGGCTGCCATCCAGAAATTCAAAAAAAAAAAAGTGAATGGCAGACCCAGCAAACTTAAATGGCAACTCCATCCCACACTCCAGATTGCGTGACAGCATTGTTTCTATCACGCTGATTTCCCTTTATCACAGCAGCCAAGAAAGTAAGTGGATAATAGTTTTTTGGAAAGATAATTACTTATTAATCCAGTGTCCTTAATCTTCAGAGATCAAAGCTCTGCCTACTGGTATGCCTTTATCCATTCAGCTGATAGCATTGTCATCTAAATACATGCTCTATAAGCACTGTAATCAGTATGTACTTATGGCTGGATCCCTATGTATTGCTGAAAGTTTGCAGTTTGGTTGCCATTAGTATAGCTCTAGGTTTCAAACTGGCTTTTGTTTGACTGCCACTAAAGCACCAATGTTTCTTCATGGTTGTGGCTTTACAGTAGCCAAGGAATGGGGCATCGTTCCTCGTTCAGTGAGGTTTTCTGGATAGTCACGAGCAGAGAAGCGGTATACCTCTAGTTAAATGTGTGCTTCAAGTTCTGCGCTTGGCTCGGTGCTTTGGCAGGGAGCCTGAGGCTTTTTTCTTTTTGAAAAGAAAGGAAGGGCTGCTGGATGCTTTGGTACATCTTCTGGCAAGGATGGATAACAAGCACTACATATCTTGAGACATAATAATAAACAACTAGCATTTATCTGACATTTCATTTCTGAGGCATTTGACAACTGTCGTTAATGAGACCCATAATAAGACCCCCAGGAAAGGTGCATTGTTCGCACCAGGGAGCTGGAGTGCAAAGGACAGTGCTGACTGGCTGTGACAGTCTGCAATCTCACATTGCTGCTGTGAAGTAAATAAATAGATATTTTTTCTATTTTGTTATTGATCAAGTCTGGCCAGTCTCAGGGAGAAAGGTTTAGGGCCACGTTTTCAAGCATCTTCTGGTTCTCAGGACTAAGACCGTTACTTTCAAGATTTCTGGCAATGTAACCATCCTTTGAACTGGCTCAGGCAAGCTCCCACAGGGCTAGGGGAAATCAGTGGACACGATAAGCCTTTAGTACCTGTCTTAATCACCGTTAACTTAAACCTGAGCACTCTCCACTTGGTGAAAAACACTGGCTCCATCACATTATTACCCAGCACCACTGAAGGAATTAATGAGCGTTGCAGAACTCATGACCATATGGAAGGAATCTAAATATATCATTGACGAGGAGAATAGAGAGAAAACAGTGGATAAAAAGGCTCACCTGCGGATAAAGCCACCACTGATGGCCATCTGCTCCCGTTCATCTACGACACGTGCAGGCTGGCTGGCTACAACACCATCCTGATTATTGCCCCAGGCTTTTTTGTAAGCATCACTTGATTTAAGCCTATGCAAAAAAGATGATGAGTAACAAAGCATCAAGTGGACAAGGACAAACGCAAAACTCTTTACTTCTCCAAGCTAAAAGCTGAATCAAGCAAATGAGTTTTCAGATAGAGGGTCATTGATTGTATACCGATATATCATAACCCTGAATAAAAGGAGGGTTTGGGGTTTTGTTTCTTTACTGCCACAACATCTGTGATGGTCAGAGGTTTTGTTTCCAATAGGGTGAATTGCAATTGTCAAGTCTACAACACTGCACACAGGTTTTTGGATGTTGACTTAGTTTCCAGAAAGAAGGAGAAAAAAAAGTAAAAAAAGGAAAAAGAAAAAAGAAGAGAAGAAATACAGATAAGTAGAAAACATTGTTTCATTTCAGTGACACATACATTTTGACATCAAACACAGAGAACATACTGGCAGACAGACATAAAAACAGAACTGCCAAGTATAGTGTGTACATCACATCACAGCAACACACCCTCTTAGAGAAAAATGGATTTGGCTAGATTTTAACATTTTACTATGCAGAAAATTGGGCTTCTGTTGATATTTTTTAACATGTATGTGGCATAATAGGCATTTAAAGCCACTAACCTTTCCCAAGGTGATTTGGGGATGATTTTATCATAAAATTCATGGGGTTCATTAGATTTTTCAAATAATATATCGGTACTTGAAAATCGTAATCATACATCGACAGTTGATGTACAAACCTTTGTCCACAGAGACAAAAAGTAAAATAGGCAGAAGTGAAATGAGCGCAGGAGAAAAGAAAAGATACGAGCAATCTAGCATCAGAAAGGGAAATTTGTCTACATTTTTCTTCATGCACCAGCTACAGGCATGAATAAGAAGTGAAGCATTCTCACTCAGCACAGTTGCCCCAATAGTTCATCATACTCTTGATGCATCAGCAGTAACAGCCTTCACAATAAGCAAGACACAGGCAAAAATGGATCATCACTTCCTTCAGGAGCTTTAAACCACAGGACTTTAAAATGGCCTAGCAACTTGTTATATTTGATGTTTATGACAGTTACGTTAGCTTTCAGAGAGCCATTTTTGACTGAGCTGCCGTGGATAGAAAATTAAAATCCGGGCATGCCTTCAGTGGCAGATTAGCATGTGCAGCTTATTTAGGGTTGCCGTCATTGGGGTCATCAGACAAAGTTGAACCCTTTAATAGGACAGTGTGAGTGTTTGGGGTCTATAGGTATAAGTTCTTGGTTTCATTCTGGAAATGGATCAGTTTCCAACACAGCTGCTGGGAACTGCAAATCCCTGTGCTTTCCCTGTCTTCAGTCAGCTCCAATCAGTCATATATCAGCCCTGTGGCTTGGATTTTGGGGGAAAAACCGTACATGCTTCTTGGGGATTTGGGACAACAGACTCATCTCTGGTGTTATGTTCTCTCTGTGCCCCCTGAAGCAGCTCAGCATCTGTTGAGCGTGAAGATGTGTTGCATGCTCCAATATAGAATTATAATATAGATGAAAAGAGACTCTTTCCTACTCATATGCTTTGTCCCTTATTTTCTGTTAAAATTTCTGAAGACTTGGAAAGAAGATGGTTGACTTGTTTGTTCTTAGTTCTCTAAAACCATACATCAGTTTTGGGGTTTCTAGAAATGCCTGAAAGTAGTTCTCTTGCGGCACATACGTTTACAGTATTTGCCTATTCTTTAGACCTGTACAGTTTTGAGAGTGAGACAGTCTCTGTGTTTGAGGTGAACGATTTTATACACCCAGAGCTTGATCGCTGTTTTCTTGTGGACTTCCCATTAAAGTCAACAGGTGGAGTCTGGGCCACAGTCAATTGAATGCAGTCTGGTCAAAGTTTCATGCCATGGGCATTTTGGGTCTCCTAAGTTCGTAGGATCAAGCCTTACATTTTGGTAAGTCTCATGGAGTTGTATTTACTCTGTATATCAGAGTATAGTTATGCGTGACGTGGTTAATCTTTGTTAAATACATGCCATTAATCTACCACCAGCCAGAAGAGCATTAGAGCATCATGGTGATACCGATGCCCAGAACTGTATGGATTTCTCTCCCTCCTACACTCCGCTTCTCAGAATATCATCTTATTCGTACCAGTTGAGTCCTGGCATAGTGATTCAAGGAACAGTCTCTAAAAGCATTGTTCATCCATACTCTGTTTCTAAACACATTGACTGATTAACAATGCTAGTTTATGAAATCTGGCTGCAGACTGCAAAGGTCAGAATATTGCCTTAAAGCAGGGAAGAGACACCTTTAAAAATTAACGTCCCCCACATCAAACACATGCAGTATCTTTCTGTTCTTGCATCTATTGATTTCATGACGCTGCAATCATTGTGAAGTGGTAAATGTTTTAAGGCCACATGTCAGGTGTTAACCCCATCCATGCCACAGGTCTGGCTGTCGGTTCTGAGCAGCCTTTCCTACAGTACAGAATATTAAAACTGCTCTAAAAAATGAAGATTCCTGCAAAATACATTGGAATTTTTTGTATTTCAAGGGTGAACTTTTGATGTAGGCGTTATGCTAGGTTTCTCCAGGAGGAGCAAGCCGAGACAGTGTTCCTCTTTAAGTTGCAACAGCTTTTAGAATGTGGGACATGTAAAGTTTCTGCTGCATATTCTTGTACCTGCAGCTCTTCTGCACTGGGTCCTCTGGTGCAGGTCAGCCGGGCTAAAGCCTGTATCAGAGCCAATGCCAATTGCAGGCAGTCCCGCTGACAGAGGCTGTGTGTAGCTCTTTCCATCCCTCCTTGCCTCTCTCCTGTTCCGCACACTGAGGCAATAGTACACATATTCTGGGCAAAATGTTTACCCCACCTAAGTATTCATGGCTTGGTAAAACAGGAGCAAAATTAATTTTTTTAAAGCTGAGGCCGTATATCCCAAGGGCATTGTGTCCCGAGGGAATTAACTTCAAAATAAATGGCAATTGATAATGCAGAAATCGAGTCCTACAGTTCTGATTTCTGGAAAAAACCTCACTGAACTCCATGACAACTCGCTCTCATTTGGTCTTGATAATCGTGGTAGGATCAGGCCCTGGCTGTGGACAAAGTATCTGTGCCACGCAGAAAGGGAGTGTAATACTACAGATCCACTGCACTCTACTTTGTTTCCTACGCAATCTCTGGCCAACCATTTATGAATGTTTTCACTGTAACCTGTTTGCGTGCCTACTCACTGCGTGCTGGATTTACTATTCCTCAAGGACTTCTGGTCGGTCCACTTTGTCTCAGATTTCCTACACCCGCATAACCGCACATCACATTTTCATTTGGCATTTAAAACAAGCTTTGCATTACTTGGAGGACGGTTTCGTTCAAGTGTGATGGCATGCAAGCAAATTCGATGCATTTCAACATTTCTGCTTAGTGTACGTGCTACCCAAACAAGAGAAATTTGGCATGACATGTTCAGATTTTCTCAAATTTGTTGCCTATGGCAGGATGAAAACCATTTCAAGTAGGGTTCCAATTGTGAAATGTCATGACTCTTTCAAGATCTCATCAAGCACTATTTCTGTTGAACAATGAAAAAAGGTGTGATTTTCATCCATGATTTTGAGTAATGTTTATTATGACCTCTTCTGCTTTTTTTTTCCAGCTTTTTTGTTTTGTTTATTAAACTTGTTTGTGAAAATATGTTTCAAAATTTAGGGTCTGCAAGAATAAGGTAGCCCCAGTGTTTTTCTTTGCTGGCAAATTAAATCACTCAGTACACTTTGTGTAAAATGTTGAAACTTTTACCATTAAAAGGTGTCAACAGTGAAGCTTTCACTGCAGTATGCCTGATTTTAATGCATCTACAGTAATTCCCAGTCAGTTGTCTATGCTATGAGATGAATGCATTTGAACCAGAATCGTTCTTTCTGCATGCCACATGCTCATCCTGTCCATGTGCCTAGCAAGGATGAGCTTCACAAGGCCTTTAGGATCAGCCTTAAGTGCTCAAAGAGATGAGGCAGGCAGCACCTACTTGTTACATGGACAGACACAAAGACCACAGAATTTTCCTAGGTCCGTCAAATTCTTTTCTGCTTCTTTCATGTCCTTATTGATTTGGTCCATTCCCTCTTCGATGCGTTCCAGTTGTTCTGATTAAACACAAGTATTTTATCCCCACAGAATGAAGCAGATGGAAAAGGACAAAGAAAAAAAAGACAAAAACTTCAGACATTCACTGTGACAAAAAACTGGACACCACATAGCAGAGCCGGTACCCAGTACCTACTTGTTACAAGGACATATGAAAAGGCCACAGCATTTCCCTAAATCTTTTAAATTTTTCTCGGCCTCCTTCATGTCTTGGTTGATATGGTTCATGCCTTCTTCAACACGATCGAGTTGTTCTGGTCAGGACAAAGGGATGACAGTGTGGAATGAATTGTATTTTTGTTTGTTTGCTTTTGTCTTCAACAGAACATGAAAAATGACCATGTAGAACTGAATTAATAATGACATTACAATGCATTAATCTGAACTGATGCATTGTTGAAAGGTTGTATGCTGCACTGGATGCTGAAGATGGTTTTTACTAATACGGAAAGAGTAAAACAAAGGAGGAAGATGTTTGAAATATATTAATTTAAACAAGATGTAATGATGTAGAAAGGAAGGGTTATAAAGTTTAAGGTCCGGAAACATAATACAATACATTCACTTACTAAGACACCAATGACATCCAAGAGAAAGAAAGATAAAGCGTTATTATTTTGCATTTATGTATGATAATACAAAAGAAGAGGCATCCTTCCATGGAAAATACTTCAGTTACTTACGCTTACAAATCCCTCGGAATTAGGTGATTTTGGGCTTTGATTCGTGGGGAACTGAGTGGGAGAGCAGGTAGTAATGGTACCAGAGATGGAGCGAGCTGTTAGGAGCTGTGTCCATGTACTCCTTTTTCCAGAGGATAAGGAGACTGAGATCTGCCACTTTGATTGGCATTGGATATTAATTTCTAATCGGAGTATGGCCTCAGGGCTAGTTTTCTTTCTGGTATGGATGCTGCAAATCAGGAGTAACCCCAGTGAACCCAGAGCAATTGCAACCACTCCAGGAGCCTGACGCTCACTGAAAGAGGACCACTGGTTGCGACATTTGTTGTCTCTGTCCCCAGGGGATTTTATGAAAACCAGCATTGGGTAAAGACTCATGTTTTCAGTGGGGTCACTTCTGCTTTGCTCTGGGGCAAGTTAAGAAGTGCCAAGCCCAGTAACCAGCCGTATATAGACACTGCCTTTCCGCTAGAATCAAACAGAATTTGGCTTATTTCCACCTAAGGCTGACGATGATGTAGGTGCTTCTTGGTAGCTCAGAATAATTTAATGTGTTAATTTCTTCACTATTAAAACTGGGAAAAATGGCCTAGAGGAACAGAATGCCGCAATGTCAAATTGTAGGAGCAGATCCTCTGCTGATGTAAAGAGGTATGGATCCAGTGGGATCGGGGGCCTTATGTGGAGTCTGGGGTAGTGACAGCATTTTACATGGGTGGAAAGCTTCACCATTTGTTTCATGAAGCATAAACCCAAATAAGTATTACACAGGATGAGAAAGTTACTTGGAGTGGCATTTCAATCCATTAAAATTGCAAATGTACATAAAGAGGCAAAGTGAAGCAATTCCAGTAAAACACAAATACATCCCTATTCCCCGTATTGAATAGAAAAAATATAAACACAGAATTAAACCTGAGAGGAAAAGAACTAAGAAAGCCCTGGTTATAGGAGGAATTTAATGTCATCACTGATGTTAACTGAGTCCTATCCAGAAGGAAAAAAAAGAAGGCATTTTAGAAAAAAAAAAATCACGTGCATATTGACGTCAGTACAAAACTCCTCTTGACTTCTTTGGGAACATGAATAGGCCTAATTTCTTAGGGTTTCTAATAGCAATTGAGGTTTAGATTTTCAAAGCTTTCTGGGGATTTGGATAATTAAAATTTATTTAATTAATTTTAATGGGAAATGGGCATCTCACCCCTAGAGGGCCTTGAAAATCCTGGCCTAAATTATTCAAGCTGAAATAATTCAAATATTGAACTTGTGCGCTTTGTTTAATTCTTGCATGAGGCTGGGCTTTAAGAAGGAGAGGTGCCATGTCCGTGTTGCAAGCTGCATCTGCTTTTCAGCTGCCAGTTCTCATTCTCCTCAGTTGGATGTGCCTGTCTCCTGATGCCTCAGGAGCTATTGATCCCAAATCCCAGGATACATTTTAGAGGATCAGAGTTACCTGGCTCTGTCCTCTCAAATGGCATATATAATGTGAGCAAAGGATTGGGAAACTAATAAGGAAACCTGAGAGAAACACCGCACAAGTTCTGCCAAATAAACTGCTGAGCCAAGAACCCAAAATACAAGGTTGGATCGTTTTAATGCACATTGTAATTTTACATTTTGGTTAGGAGGCTTTAGCAGAAGCTTTGGTTCATGTTTGTAGCCACGGATTGTCAATCTCATCAGAAATGGGAGTATGTGACCGAAGGTGATACTCCTCTAAGTGCTCCTGCTCCTCTCTAACTCGGAGTTCTGCCTACTCCTGCATAGTTGGGCAACACTTGCTCTTGCTCTGGGAAGCAGCTGTGGGAGTGTGAGCTCGCTTTTATGCTGGTTCATGCAGCATGATGAGAATTGCTAATTTTCTGTTGCAGATTCCCACCTCCTGCTTGTGAGAGCTGTATTTGCAGATCTGGCTGGTTTGCAAGGCTCTCAGTTAAAAGCAGGCTATTTCCACATGTGTATTTTGACACTGAGGGGGGACAAGAGGTACTGGCCTTTCTTCCACTGATTTTGCTGCTAGTATTTCTCTAACCTTGACTAGCCAGTAGAAAATGCCAGGTAAGACTGCAGGGCTCAGTCCTAGATCTGGTACCACTGGTGGCTTTCAGTCTAAGCATATGTCCTTGCCGAGATGCACATTCTCTGAAGCCAGGTATGTAGTAGGGCCTTTTGAACTTTCTTTCCCTGTTTCCTATTCTGCCTGAACAGATGAGTGCTAATTGAAGAGTATATTTGACATGACTCAAAGACTTTCATTTAAATTATAGCTCTCTCCAGGAACCTGACTTAATTTATCCTGCTTCAGGATTTGTGTGTGATGCCTAGGCTATTTCTGAATAGAAAAGGGACCCACAACCAATTTATCTTCCATTAAAGGAAGCCTCATCAGTGTAAAAAGCCGATGTCATATTTGTAGCCCAGAAGTCTAGACAGCTGGCTGCTGGTCCTAAAACCATTTGCTAGTTGTTAATGCCGTGGGCTGCGTTGTTAACTGGTTTAAATTGGCGTAGTTATGCTGGCTTCATGGAGCAACACCGATTTATACCTGTCAAAGATCTGGTTCCACAGGCAAGGAAATAGATTCATGAGTCTAACCACAATTATTGAGGCATAAACGTTATAGAGGAATTAACTTAATGGGGTCACTCTGGATTTGTTTTAGTATAACTGGTATTAAAATCTGGCCCGGAATGAATTGCTGCCAGTAAGAAATAAGATGGCTACCAAAAGGTTAATTTAATATCTCTTTTCATAGATCTTCCCTATTCCAACTTTGCGTATTGTATTAAAGGTTTTAGGGAAGACAGTCTGCTGGCATATACTGCCATGAACCTACACAAATTCACACCTACAAAAGATGATGTCCTTTATCTCCCATTTGGAGAAGCACTTCAAGGTCAGAGTTTAAACATCTTTTGATAGGTTGTTGCAGTATTCTTTGAATATACTACATCTGTGTTAATGTCTGTATAGCATATAAGATATGTAAGAGAATTGGCTTTGTCTGGAAGCAGAATACACGTCAGAGATATGCTTCATTGAGATTTCCTTTTTTTTTTTTTTCCCCACCTCAGGAAGTTCTGATAATTTCTAGCCCTTTTTGCATATTGATGCCCTTGTATGTCTGAAAATGCCACTTTGATTCAAACACAGCATCCATGTATCTTCTTCCAGATCTTACAGCAAACTAATGGCGTATCTTAGGATACAAGCAAGGATATTTTTTTACCTGTATCATTATACTTATGAATTACTTCTGTATTAAAACTATAGGCAACTGGGGGGTCTTAAGCTAGTCCTGTTAGTTTTATGGTAGTGTTGTGGCCCTTTGCCAGCGGGTCTTTGCCAGGATCTTCCGTAACAGCTTGGCAAATCCCTACTTTGTGACTGATCTGGGGAAGTGGCTGGGAGAGGGAAGCTGTAGCAAGGGCATCCCTCAGCTGCGCCTGTGGTCTCTTGAGCAAACATAGCTGCAAAAGCACCTCGACACAGCATTGGATGCAGGACCAGGACAGGGCAAGTGTGGTATTGCTGTACCTTTGCATCCCCATCCGCAATTTATAATAAATGTTCCTTGACTAGTGTCCAGGATCTGGGGCCAGGGCTTGAATGTCAGTTAAATGCATTTGGAGAAGGAAACTTGCTCCTTTGCCTGGACTATTGTGCAATGAAGTAATTTCCACCAAGGACAATTTTAATTTAAAAAAAAAAAAAAAAAAGAAAAAAAATACATCTAAGAACACATTGTAATCATAATTGCGTACAATAGAGCTGAATTTGAAAGAAAGTCAGCAGATTAGCTATTTCCAGTGATATTCGGTGATCCCATTTTCCATAAAGCAGAATCATATCGGAGCAAAGTACATTTCTAGGACAGCCTTTTCAGAAATCCCGAGTCTTGACCTGGCTCTGCTCTGAAAGACATTGCTGAGCACAGGTATGAGTGGAAGAAAGCTGGCAGGGAGTGCTTGTGAGCCCACGTGTAGCTGTGCTAAAAATTAACAGCAGACGAGCCACAACCTGCTTTTATGGAGAGTTTGTCTTTTGTTCTGCACTGCACTTTCAACATAATTAATGCCATTTTCCCTGTAGAATCTGGAATAGTTGATAGTTACCACTTTTTTTCTGCTAATTAGCAAAACATTTCTGGCTGTGATCAGCTCAGCTCATAGGTGTTGTTGGAGTGCCTCTAGCAACTCTGCTTTTGCCATCTCAGTGCCTATCAATGTCCGTGGTAGCTGTTGAATAGGAGATAAGCTGGGGAAGGGGCCATAATTTTGCCCTCTGATGGAAAGGAATGGTAATGATCTTTGTATTTACTACAGTTGTTTCTCAGTGTCATAGAAACAGGTCAGCCATAACTCATACAAAACTGTAAAATTTGCACCTCATACAAAAACTGTAGAGGTCAGCTCGCATGGGCACCATCACTTGGTGCCAACCCTTTTGCTTGTAGGGTTGCCCAGTTATTCCGAATTTTTATCTCCATACTTCAACCTGATCTGAAGTACAGATCTGCTGGGTAGATCAAGCTATTCTCCACGTTCTCTGGCATTGCTGGTTGTGCATTTGCTGTTGGTGTGGTGCAGGGAGAAAATTTGAATTGCATTGACATTTTCTTTGTGGCTTATCAAAGCTGTGGATATTCCTCTGTCTTGTCTTGGATGAAAAATGGCTGTGCTGCTACTGTTGTTATTGGAAAAGCTTCTCCCCTGCACCCTGTTTTCAATATAAGAACGAAATTCTTTTGTAATAAACTGCATGAGGACATCATCACAGAAAAGAAGTCCTTGAAGGTACAAGTCTCTCTGCCTGCTGACACTCCCAGGAGATGGGATTTTCCTTTGAAGGAGAAGAGCTACCACTCTGGGACCCCTCCTGCATCAGCGATTCAGGTTTATCTTCATATCCCACTTTCTACTGCCAGTTTAATTTCTACAGTCTGCTTTTAACCAATAGGCATCCAAATGTTAACATTTTTCTAAGCTAGCATGTTTCAAAGACATATTTAATGAAGCAGAGCAATTGCCACTGCTCAATAATCCTTTGCAGCACGACATTTTCAGCATAAAATGAAAATATTTTAGTTTAAAGCATTATGTACGTATCTATATTTAAATAATTAATTAAGCGAGCTTGACTCG